AAGCATGTGTATAGAAAGAATCCAGCTACTTGGTAGAAGGTTAGGCCCCACCCAACTCTCATGGCCCCAAGATGTATCTACTAGAAAGAGACTACGTATATGCCTAGTCATCTAGGTTTAGAAGCCACATGAGTCTGGGCTGAGAAGAGAAGGCTGCTAAGACAGTGGCCACAGCTTCTCCCCTGGACACCACAGTCCTGGGAAGAGCTGGTCTTGATTTCCACTAAGGGCTGGGGCTGTGTTACACCCATGTGCTTCTCTTCCTCTTTCCCTGTCTCTGATGAGCAGAGCAGGGCTACACCTCTGACCCAGAGTGATGGGGTAAAACAAAGCCTGAAGTCCCACAGGGAGGCAGATGGACAGGAACGCCAGTGAGATGTCTTGTGAGATGGCACAAGACTGTCCACGTATCATTAGAACCTGGGGTCTTCTAGCCAGCTGGAAAGAAACAAAGAGGGGCCCTGTTTGATGGAAGGGCAGGGCCCAGCATGCAGACCTGCCTCTGACAAGGACTTCCCACCTTCTGGGAAGCCTTATTATAGCCAGACTCCTATAATAAATGCATGTTCTCCTGGCCACACACCAGAGGTGTGGAGGACGTCTCTATGACCCTGGGCAAATTAATTTACTAGGCTTACTTAGAGAGCAGGCATGAGGGATTATGGGTGGGAGTGGCCCTAGAGTAAGTAGCCTTGCTGGGAGTCTGTATCAAATGTGGATTATGGCTCCCCTATGGCTGCTATAAGTTAAATTACCCAGACTATATACTATATAGCTCCTCTTCATCATTCCTGAGGCCACCTACAATCAGATCTAATTTTTTAATAGTACAAAAATAATGTTTCTGTGTGAGATAATTTGGTCAGCAGACAGATAATTTTTACAAAGAAAGGGGAAAGTGTCTGAAAACCAAACAGGCTCCCTGGATTTTACCTGAGGGTTGACTGAGAAAGCTGCCATATGCACAGGTGGCCTGTAAGCTGTTGCTGGGCCTCTGAAAGAATGCAATCAAGTCAATGCATAGATAGCTAGCAATCAGAGATTCTCATAACAATATGCAAACCAAGACTGCACGCTTAGGTCACTCCATGCTTGCTCCTGATTATCAACAGTTACTGTACTTTCATCACCAATACCACCCCTCAGGTGTCATTGCAGGAATAGTTGTGCCTGTTAAGCTGGTTGGATACTGAAGAATGGAGCCGCTGTGAGTTGTAAAATTGCAGGCATGCCCTGTTGTGTTATAATAAAATAACAACCCTGCCCAAATCCCTTTGGTGTTGACCCGACTCTGGTATTCAGTCTTGATGGCCTCCAGTTGTTTGGGGTCCAGGGCAAGGGGAGGGGGTGTGGAAGCTGTTTCTTGCTTGGGGGAAGCACCCATGGAACTGAAAGGATTGGAAGGAGAAAGGGGAGAGATTGAGGCACTGGCAATTGTCACTGCTTCGCACTGGGTAAGGGGGGGGGGGGTAAAGGAGGCTCAGTTGGCATGGGCGATGACCAGTCTTGGGTGAGAGACTCTAGTATGGTGGCCAAGGGTTCATGGCTGTGAGCTGTGGGAGAGCATTGCTTGCTGGTTGGAGGCTCTGCCCATGACCCTGGAGAGTTAGGGACTGATTGGGATTGGATGGTCTGCCGAGGGGATCTCCCATGGTGGTTCTTTGGCAGAGAAGGAGGTGGTTCTGCAGTGTATCTGATCTGAGCTGGTTCGCTGTTGAATTGCCTGGTCTGCAAGATCTCAGGTGAAAGTTTGGGTCTGGGTTTTTCACAGAGCAAGTGTCCTTCATCTTCATTACTTTCAGACTCAGCATCCAGGATTTGAAACATAGAATGTTGCGTGGGTATACTGTCATGATCTGATAATTCACTTGGGTCATTGTCTTCCATATCTTAACCCTTGAGATCCTCAGAATCTGGTTCTGTAGTCCCTGCACTCCTTTGAGGCTGAACAGCAACTGGAGCAACCCAAGGAGCTTGAAGAGATACTGAAGCTACAAAACTCCCTGGGCTCAACGTGACTCTTTGATTATTGTTGCTTATCAAAGCAGCTAATTGTTGAAGCTTCTCCTGTTTTGTGGTGAGGATAATTTCAGCTTGTTGATTCCCAATTGCATGTTTCTTCTTATGAAAGTCAAGCAAAATCTTGGCTTTAGCCTGATCTAGACCTAACTGATGAATCTCTTGCTCCTCAGCTGCTCCTGTAATCTACGTTCAGCTTCACCAACTGCTTCTCGTAGTTGTTGATATTGCTCTCGTACGGTGACACCTGCTAGTATTCCATCATGTGCTGTTGTTACTCCCAGAGCAACAGCAGGCAAGTGTGGAAATAGCCATGTTCTAAGTTATTTACTCCTGACAGGTTTCATATTTGAGCAAATGGAGCATACTCATGGTGGTGAGCCAAACCTTTCAGAATAAGCCTAAAACTCTCAACCTCAGCTTGAACTTTTACAGTCTGAACTAGAAGGTGAAGCAAAATGTGGTCCCCTTCCTTACGGAGGATATGATCTAACACAGTTTTAACAATCGGAGCCCAGAGAATCTTGCCTGAGAGAGTTTGTTATAATGATATCATCGGCATTGTGCCCAGCCTCTAAATTTATCCCTTGATAAATAAGAATTTAAATGTAAAGCTCACTCTCATGATCCCAAAACTAATTACCATAAAGCCTGGAGTCTGCCAGCTCTGTGGGTATTGTGGGAGCACTTGCTCTGTACTTTCTCAAGGCAGGCCCTTTCCCCAACCACAAGTTTGGGAAGGAAAAGACTGCAAAAGGAAAGAAACTGCCCAACTCGTCAACGCTCTCCATGATTATTCATCAATGCTACTAAGGCTTGCCTTGTCCCTCAGCTAGGGCCCATCAATGCAAAAAACTCACTGAGATTAGTATTATTTCTATTATCCAACATTAGTCCGTGAGCCTCCAAGTATCAGCAGGTTGCACTTGTCTGCTTTTTGATTTCCCTCATAAGTGTGTTGGATACCTAGTGTCATAAGACAATTGTCTGTCCTAGTCTCTATAGTATGGATGATTTGCGAGCAGAGTTCACTCGGCTCAGGAACATCAAGTGAGCATATCTTTCAACTCCTGACTAGTGATTCGACGGGTTGAGTGCCATAGTTCAAAATTCTACACAATTCTACATCATTTTGAATGTTAGAGTACCATGGAGAAGGGTTGCTGGTTCATTCAAACTATGACATTTTGAATGGGAAATGCTTCAGCTAGATGGACCCCAGATGATAATCCTAATCCAAGTTGATGTAAAGTTCAACGTTAATGTTTATGCTCATGAAGAATTTAATTTTCCTCCCATATTTAATTTTTATACAAATGGCTGGAGGGGTGACCGAATACTCAGTTGAGAGTACAATGACTCCTGATGCGCTCACATTCCGTGAAAGTGTGTCATCAAAGCCAGCCTTGATTACCTCCTACAAACAGGTGGAGATGGTACCACTCATGAAGATGGAAGCTGTTCTGCTCAGAGGATATTGCTGTACATGTGTCCATTAGTAATCACACTACCATCCCTGAGAAATGCTATAAGTGCCAGGCTGCTTGGGACCTGGGGCCAGCAATGCCCATGAGACCAGGAGAATGGCTGAGTCAAGTGTTGGCACGTTGTCAATCACAGAAACACTAGGTTGTTTTCAGATGGCTGACGAAAGCTGGGGACCGTGACCATCACTGGACATGAAGGCAACACTGGAGAATTATAAGACAGACTTGGGGAAAACCAGTCCCTTAATAGTTGAAAACTTTTACTATCTGCTAAGCTTGGTGATGCCAACATCATGGAAGGCAGGGCTGGGGTAGCACCTGGCTGTGGAGGGAGACTGTGGCTCTAGGAATTGAAAGCACAGGACTCTGAAACTGCTGGTTAGAACTGTGGGAGGCAGTAGGTGTTCTGACAAAGGTCATCTTTCCATGGCGGAGCCTCCAGCAAGCACAGCAGAGTCCACAGCCAGCACTGCTCACCCTAATGCACTGAAAGGCAAAGCACACACACTTCCGGTGTCTCACCCCTTCTCTGCTCCCTCAGCCTCTGGAGCACAAGGTGTGACCTGGATGCTCCTGGTCCCACTCACTGCATCCCACAGGGATGCTTTGACTTTACCCCATTCTCCTCCCCGCTCTTCAGGGTCCTTAGATTCCAATGTGCCATAACTGCTATATTTGTCAAAAAGAAGAGACACTGGTTCCGTCATTCCTGCCTGTGCCAGGTGAAGCCACACGGTTCAAGAACTTTCCTCTGGTTCATGGTTTCCCTCCTGTTTCATCAATATCAACTACAAAAATCACTTAATTATTTCTCATATTATTTGTGTGGACCCTGTTTTGTTTCCTTGTTTTGAAGAGTTAGGATTCTTGTGTCTCTCTCTGAAGATGTTGCCCTTGTGGTCTGGTTTCATTCACAGAGGTCACACTCAGGAGGCTTTCTAGAAATCACTCGAGTTACTAAAGCTGAGAGGCTTATTCCTGAAGGCTGTGTGCAGAGGAAGTAAAGTTGTATGTGACTGTTGCAAAGAGTGTGTGTTAGTGTGCATCTGGTACATGTGTGGGTGCAAGTGCCTGTGTGCTGGCCAGAGGAGCACCTTGGTGTCATTTCTCAGGCACTGTGCCCCATTTTCTCTTTTCTGAGAAAGGTGGTCAATGACCCATAATATGACACGCAGGCTAGGCTGCCTGGACACGGAGTCTGAGCTGAAAAGGGGGAATTGAAAACTCCAACTGCTCCCCCAGTGCACAGCTTCTCTCATGAGCTTCTAGGACTACAATCAGGGTCTCATGCCTGCAAGGCGAGAGCATTACTAGCTGAGCTGTCTCCCCAATGCTGGAAAGAACGTTCAGCATTTTGACCGACTGTTGCTTGTCAGTGAAGCCTGATCTTTTCATCCAATGAATGACATCTTTGCATTGAATTTCTGTGATTTCAGACCTACAAATTCTTAAGGCTTCAGATTGTTTGCATGATATACGTTCCTTTTATCTCAATTCTCTATGTCAAAATAGATTCTCTATCTCATGTATGCTCTTTCAAAAAAAAATAAACAACATATAACAAACTGTTATAAATGAAAGCAGAGGTAAGCAAACAGGCTTTGCTTTGATTGCCTGAATGATTGGGGGAAAATGTGAAAATTTCTGAAAAGATGACTCAGCAGTTAAAAGCACCTCCCAGAGAGATCCACAGCCAAGTACCAGGACGAGCTCCAGGAGTCCAGTCGAAGAGAGCGAAGAGGGATTCTATGAGCAATGGGCATCAAGATCATGATGGGGAAACCTACAGAGACAACCAAACCAAATTAGGGGGAAACTCACGAAATTTAGACCAACACTCGTGAAGCCTCTACGGGACTAAACTAGGCCCTCTGCATAAGTCAGATAGTTGTGTAGCTTGATCTGCATAAGGGGCCCCCTGGCAGTAGGATCAGGATCCATCCCTAGTGAATGAGCAGGCTTTTTGGAGCCCACTACCTATGGTGGGACACCTAGAACAGCCTTGACCAGGGGGAAGGGCTTGGACCTGCCTCTACTGAATGTACCAGACTCTGCTGACTCCCCATGGGAGGCCTTACCTTCTTGTAGGAGGGAATGGGGAGGGTGAATTGGAGGAGGGGAGACTGGAGGAGTGGGAGGAGGGAAGAGGGGGATCTGTGATTGGTATGTAAAATTAATAAACAAATTTTTTCTTAATAAAAAAAGCAAAAAATAAATTAAATAAATTCTTTTACCCATAAAAAAATTAATAAATAAGTAAATAAATAAATAAAAGCACCTGCTAGCTGTTCCACAGGACCAGGGTTCAATACCAAGCAACAACATTGTGGCTCAGCATCACCTGTAACTTCTGACTCAGGGCATCCAATGTTCTTTTCTAGGTTCCCTGGAAGCCACATTACACAAAAATATATTTAGGCAAAACATCTTCATACATAAAAAATAATAAATAAAATGTAATGATAGTTATCTATTAATTCTATGATATACAACAATAGCTTATTGAACAGTGAAAGATACTGATATTAGATTTTGAACATACACAGTGATTAAGTAAGATGATACCAGATACTAATATGTCACTGTCCCACAGTGTATAGCTCACAAACCTCAGAAACTCCCGCCATACTATATTTACTATAAACTATATACTATAAACTGTCTCAGCATTTCTAAGGCTTCAGAGCAGGTGGGAGTAGTGACTTACTACTCACAAACTGTGGGCATTTTGAATATTGATAATCAACACTCCTACCAGCACTGGATTTTTTTTTACAAAAATCTACATAGACTTTTACAAAACCTGACATTCAGGCAGTGATACCTGCCCTTGGCTATGTTAGCTCAGATTCTCCCTGATCACACGCTTTCTACAGGCTTCAGAAGTCAGGGATTTACACAGAAAATGGTCCTCTAACTATCCCACAGCTAAACAGCACAGTGTCACAGTTTGCAGCTTCTCAGAAGCAGGAGTGTGGAGGTGTGGGGTACTTCATAACCAGCATTCAAATTGCTTTAGGAGCCACATGAACACAGGGAAATTTGTGTGACTCCATAGTTCTCTGTCCTTGGCATGATGACACTAACATTTTGTAATAACTCATTTTTAAGGCTAATAAGTCTAAAACATGACAAAGTTAAAGCCTTATGTTCTGGTTTTGAAGGAGGAGTGCCTCCCTCTGTTACACAGCCTCCTGTGTCTGAACTCAGCTGGGGTGCCGTAGGGAAGAGTCTGGAACCTTTAGAAGATGGGGTCTCCCAGAAGGACGTGAGAACTGCAGGAAGACTAGAGGTTCAAGAGTCGAGCCCCAGTTCTGTTTGCCCTCTGCTTCCTGAGTCTGGATGCAAAGTGACCAGTCTGCTCCCTGGACCTCTGGCCACACCCTCTCTGCCCACTGCCCTGTCTTCTCTGCCTGGACAACATGAAGCACAATCCAGAACAAACCCCATCTACCTCAAATTGTTTCTTGTTGGGCTTTTGGTCATAGAATCTCACCATTATTCTACACCAACCAGGGAGTCCATGTAATTTACTTTCCCATTCCTCTGCCTCTCTGGTAGGAGGGGACACCCAACTCCTCCTGCACTGTGTCCCACTAATCTGTCTAGGAATGCCAGTACTTACTGATGACGCCTTCCTTATTCTGGAGGCTCCGCACACTTGCCAGATCTTCCTGGTTCTTATTGTCTTCCTAGGGATCAATGTCCTGCAACTCCTCAAGGTCTGGAAGAAAGGCAGTAGAGAGAGTGACTCACACACATGCTGCTGTCTGCAGCGGTGAAGCCACACTGCCTCCTATGAGAACAACCTCAGTTTTCCTCTGCTTCGTAGTGTTCAGTTAGAAGCTAAATGAGCATTTAAATGCTTTGAAAAGTCTTAGGTGGTTGCTCTGCTGGTGAGCTAGGTAAAGTCACACTTTCAACCAGTCAAGTGTAGTGTTAAACATCATGCATTTTACATGTGAGATTCAGTATCCTGAATCCTCTACCACTGTGAACGGCTCATGTGATCATTCCATTTGGAGAGTGCCTTCTTTGATGCTGCTGCATTGTTCTTTGGTTTGATGCTGTGCTATGGCTATAGCATGTTGTCTTAAAGACTGCAGCCTTCTTATCTTATTATCGAAACTGGAATGACAGAAAACAGAAAAAAGTTAAGTGAGCTGAATACTATGAAGAAAACCATGAAGACTCATAACTGCTCAGTGTTTGGATATTGATGTCATTCTTTCTTGAAGTACACCCTTCTGCTCCAGTGATGCTTCTGGAAGATCACAGAGACCAGTGTACATGGCATACGTGCACTCCATGGTCGGTGTAGGGAAGGGCTCAGTGTATAGGGGTGGAAGAGCAGACAGGGCAGAGCAGTGTGTCTGTGGGCGTGGGCATGGTACCAGGTGGCCACATGCAAATAGCTTTAACAGACACTTGAATAGAGGTAAATTTATGCAGTTCCTCAGTTCTCATTCTGTCAAAGGTGACACTTCTCCTGAGCACTCATTTTTTTAACTTTTTTTTTCTTTACTGAGGTCTCATTTTTAAATCCAACAAACCTAAAATACAACAACAACAAAGAAAAGAACAACAACAAAACCCAATGAATGTAAAACCTAAAAGAAAAGCACAAGCTCTACAGTAGTCCTCTGTGGGGCCTGCTAAGTGCCAAAGATTTAGCTAGACTGCAATGGCTGGAACCAAAGATGGGGTTCGCATGGCCTTGGGCAGTGCGCACTGGCTCTTCCCTTCATCCTTTACACAACCGTGATGTCTCCAGTTCATGGGAAGCACATAGTATCACCTCCAGGGAGGGAGGCATGTAAGCTCTATCCGTACCTGCTACTTCTCACCTCAGGGACTTCTTTAGTTACCTTCATGTCACTGCAACTTAGCCACCTGACAGGAAACAATTAAGACAGGGCTGTAAATCCTGCTTCCGTCCATGACACAAAAGTGGCCGCTCCCTGCACAATCAGTGGTGTGAGGGATCTTGGGGAGTTCCACTTTCCCTCTGTCAGCTGTCTCTCAGTGAACGTGCCTAACGACACGATGACAACACTGGGAGGGGACCACATGGTGGCTCCACTCCAAGTCATTCCAAGTGGTCCTCATGTGGTAACAGAGACTAAAAGCCGCCTCCCTTCATTTGACGGACTTTGGACAAATCTCCAATGTCAACCTACAGGACAAGAGGTGTGGTGCTCTGGTCATTAATGGACTGTGTGTCCCCTTACCCCTTTCCTGATGACAATTACCTCAGAGTCATCTGTGTAGCCTGGCTTGGGCCCAGCTGAGAGAACTGCAGAGGCTGTGCTACTGTGAGTGTGTGCCTTCCATGCTGACCCCTCCCTCACCAAAGTCCATTTTCCACACTACAGTCACCTCTGCCACACACAGGCCATCCGGGGGCAGGACAAACCAACAGTGTTATCTCCCCTTGACCAAAATCCTCCTTAGACCATGCCTCAAAGCAGACATATCCTGAAACATCAGGCAGTTAAGAAATGATGCCATGCAGTCACACTGCTGTCACTTGTGACTGTATAATCCAGTGAGTGGATGCAGATCCATATATCTGCCTCCTTTGCTCACATTGCCAGCAAACATGGAATCTGACCCTCTGTGCTAGAAGTTATTTTTAGGCACAGAGTCTAGCATGTCTTTGAAACGGTGTGGTCAAAGACCCTGAGTGATAGCCTGGCATTGACTGGAGTCCGTAGTACACAGGAAGCCTTAGCAGACTGTGTGGCCCTGTGTGTGTATAAATGGCCTTCAGAGTGATGATGCACCCCACCAGTTCTTACTAGATTGACCCATGTTAAAATGGAACCCAATTTTGACATGCATCCACCTTGCTTTTGGATATGACTCCTCCTATACTGTTTCACTGGGACTAGTAGCAGGCCGGCTCTTTTCTGGGTTTGGTGGTGGAGGTTGCAGCTTTCACCCATCATCTCATGTCACAGCCTAGGCTGGCTTGGACATGCCTAAGATTGGAGATGACCTTTAACCCCTGGCATGCAAGGTGCCACAATACCCCAGTTTACACAGCACTGAGGATCAAACCCAGGACACCTTGAGGGACAAGCTGTACTTCCATGTCTCAGCACACCTGTACTTTCTGGCCCCTTTACAGTTGTGAAAATATGCATATTGGTTTTTGGATGCTGCTTTGCATGTATGATGTGTGTGGCAGCAACAGCAGAGTTTGTGTTCTCTGCAAGTTGTACTGTTCTGGGTTTTTTCTTGAAAGTTAGAATACTTCCATAGGGACTAATGTCCTGGTAAGACATTAGGTAGAGACTGATACCTCATGTTTAAACCTATTTGCTCCAGTGATTACAGACACAACCTGGTTTCTTGCTTGGATCCTAAGTGGTTGGGGTAAGCTGAGAAATCTACCATACCTGACTGGCCTAGGTTGGAACAACTGAATGTAGTAGGTACAGTGTGAATTCTGACTTCTTTGCATGAAGATTGGGTTAGTAGACTGGGAAAGCTGATAGGGGAACCTGATAGAGGTGAATGCAGGGTTTACTGAGACCTGAGCTTGGGTAGCAATTGCTGCTTTGTTTGTGGACTACACTGGCTGTCTTCATTGCCACCCAGGTATTCAAAGAACAGCAGTGCACCTGACAAAAGACAACCAGTATGCACACCATTCTTATCGAAAAGCAATTGTGCCCTAAGGAAGTTTTCCCATAACACCTACAGGATCTTCTCTTTCAGACTGGATCTGCAATGCAGAGCAAATAGTCTTGGCCAACCTCATGTTAAATTCTGGTCACACATACCTTTGCTTCCGCTAATGGTTTATTATTTTTAAAGTCTCATTTTTGGTATTTTACCCATATAAATGTTTTTCCTACAAGTATGCAATTACACCACGTTGTGTGCAGTGGCTATGGATAGAAGAAGCGGGCATTATCCTCCAGAACTGCAGCAACAGATATGTGTAAGGCACCACATGGGTGCTAGAAATGGAACCCGTTTCCTATGCCAGATCATTCACTGCTCTTAACACCTGAGCCAGCTCTACAGCCCATTCTGAAGATTTCAGCAATGATGAACCAGTTGGTAAGACTGCTCAAAACGACATTCTCTATTACTCTGCTGTGTGATGTGGTCCCAAAGATCTGTGACATGTGACAACAAGAAGTGTACTTCACACTTTTCTCTATCCTTCCAGATTGTGTAACTCTGTAACTTTGGCTTACTAATGAGTTTCTCAAAGCTACAATGAAATATGGCTCTGAAACAACCCGCTCTGGTGAAATGAATCACTACTCAGAGTTGCTTCCCTGCCCAGAACGTCTACTCTAAGCTCCTCACTGTAAAGGGCTCACTACCACAATGTCCCATGTGGGACATATTAACCACTGACTATCTTGACTTTTGGGGAATACAATTTAAATTTTTTTTTTTTTTTTGGTTTTTCGAGACAGGGTTTCTCTGTGTAGCTTTGCGCCTTTCCTGGAACTCACTCTTGTAGTCCAGGCTGGCCTCGAACTCAAAGAGATCCGCCTGCCTCTGCCTCCCAAGTGCTGGGATTAAAGGCGTGCGCCACCACCGCCCAGCTTAAATTTTTTAACCTTAGAAATATCCAGAATAGTGGTACACCCCAGACCAGAGTGACTTCATGGCATAGTAGTGGGCCCTGGCTGCTTTATTACTAGGGTGCAGTAGAAGCTAGTTGGGACTGTTATACAATGGTTTGAGAAGTGGGCTTAAGCTGATGGGGATAAAGACGTCACAGACACCAGAGAGCATCCTTACTGAGCACTACTAGAACCCGAGGAGGAAGGTGTTCTTCCCAGTCCTTATCACCTACACAAGCTCTTGTTCTGTGGTAGCCATGGTCAGGGAGAGGAAAATGGGGGAAAAGTCTCCAGGGCCATAATAGGACACATTAGACAACTGAGGTTGCCCCTGTTACCATCAGGGTAGATTTGAATGCTACATCAGTAGAGTAATCATCCACGATGGTGAATCGGAAGAGGGGACCCAGAAGGAGATCCAGTTGTGCTGCCAGAGTGGCGAACTGTACATCTGGCCAGAGTGTGGCCGCCCACAGCAGCTGCTATCCAGCCTGGAGGTTTGAACTGCCCTCTGCACCTCAGGGTCCACCCAAGACCAACTATGTCTGCCGACCAGAACTCAAGCCCACACATTTCCCATCTCTGAAACCATGCCCTGTTTACCTTTTGCCCAACTGCACTCCAGGGTGTTTGACATCAATTTCATGTGCCTTTTTATATCCTAAGCCAGTGGATATTTTTGGACCAAATCCTTCTGTACCAAAGTGTCAGACAACCCTTGTGTCACTGTGAAAGTTGACTCTGCCCCATATAGAGAGATTAAAATCTTCTGCTTAAAATGGAAAAAGAAGAAAAGAATTCCCTAAAGAGGACAAGGGTATTTACACACACACACACAAAATGTTACTGCTAATGTACCAGTCAACTTTTGAGTGAAAAATCACACAAGGTTTAGTCAAAACAGACTCATTTGTTCAGGAGGATAAAAACTGACTAACATACAGTATGGACCTAGCACCGGCACTTTATATGAGGAGGTTTTATGTCCTGGGCAAAATTACACATCATTCGCTTCCCAAGTAAACACGCCAATACCTATAGTGTACATGCTCGGTTTGATTCAAACATAAAATCCAGTGACAAGGAGGGAATCACAAGGGTCACCTTGCTGTCTAGAAAAGGCAAAGGCCACCTTCCCTTGACCATAAATGGAGCAGCTCCCTCCTCTTCCCTTGTGCTGGTCACACTCTGAGCTTGCAGGCATTTTCTGTAGAGGCAGACAGAATGGCATGACCAGGGAGAAGGGAAGAACACAGAGGTTTTGGAGATGGTAAGGCAGAACTCTTGTAGAGTTCATCAGAGCCAGGAGTAGAGAGCAAGTAGAGATGGAGGGTGAAGAAACAGAGGACGAAGATGAGGCCGGAAGCGTGAGAGCTTAGTTGTTAGCAGGACTATGAGGGGGCAGTAAATGAGAGGACAATGAGGAACTGAGTGTCAGGACGGAACTGAAGCTATGCAGACAGGATTTCATCTTAGAGAAATAAAGTTAACGGACATAAGAGCATAGTGTACGCAGATTTTTTTTTTTCCCTCAGATATCCCATGCCGGACGTAGCATCTTTCCCAGACTCTGGGTAATCCAAAAAGGCTATCATTGGAAAAAGCACTGTAAGTCCCGATTCCATCAGAATGGGACACCACTAGATGATGCTATTAACTCCAAACTACAGCAGGACCACCCCCCCCATCAGGAAAACAGGGTGATGGGGCAGCCCTGGCCCCAGAAAATAATGGGAGTGATAAACAACCCTTTCTTGAACGAAG